CAGATTCATTTTTTTTTATATGTGAATTGTCATGCATTCTTAGGAAATATAATGGAATAGTTTACTGTTGCCTTATCCATGGTTTTAAATTCAGAATTTTTTTCTCTTAGATTGGTTGCTACCCAAAATGAGAGAACACTGTCTAGTCTGCTATTTAACCCCTAGCTAGTGGGAAAAGAGACACTATCCACATATTCACAATCTGATTAAATTCTTCCATTTTTAGTTACAAATTAGTAGTTCTTAATAAAATACAAAGTGTCTAATTGATTCTATATTTACACTGTATAAGATTTTATTGTGCAAGTCAATATCTTTATAACAAATGATAAATACACCATGTGAATTTCAGCTTATCAATATAAATAAGTAAGGATAAAAATAAATAAGTAAGGATAAAAATAAATAAGTAAGGATAAATATAAATAAGTAAGGATAAATATAAATAAGTAAGGATAAATATAAATAACTTGTTTTTGGAATGTCAGTTTTTAATATGCAAACAAAGTGCAGCATAAATATTTATTTATAAATCCAAAAGTATAGGCCATAGAAACAGACATTTGATTAACAAAATATCCTATATACCCAAATAAATTTTCTTATAATTTTAATGTAAATATAAACTCCTTAACATTATATAACCTTCATTCATAATTTCATCAATCATTTAACTTTCTACTGTTTTGACTTTCACATAACTTGCAGCAGTTTATATTGGTTTCATGAGGTCATTGCTTGAATATTGTTTTTTTTTTTTATTAGATTAACTAGCTGAGGTACCCAGCATTACTCGGGTGTACATGGCTGAAATTCTATAACTGCTGCCGCCTCCCTCCATCTAGAAATGTCTACTTGTGCCTCCATTTGCATGCATTATCCATTGGTATACTAATCTACTCCACCCCCATCTTTTTTTACGGTATGTCCTTCGCAAGTTTTTGATTATTCTTAATAAAGGAATTCTATCAATAAAACTTTGGGGTCAAATTGTTTCAATGTTTTAGATATTCAGTAAATTTCCTTATGGCCATAATAACTTTCAAATAGTATGGAATTGCTTACAAATCTAATAATCAAACAAAAACGGAGATGAAGCGTCAGTGCTTGATTCAACTGCAAGTGCAAACACAACCCCCCACTTTCGCGCATTTACTTTAAAGCTGTGGTTAATAAGATGTTCTTTGGGAATTTTTCCCTTCCAACACTTCAATAATCCTTCTCAAATAATCTTTGCATCAAAGGTTGTTTGAATGCCAATTTAGGATGGAATCAGATTAAGAAACTATTGGCTAAATGGTAAAAGCCAATTTTGGACCTAGTTTGTCACAGATTTCGACCACTTAACTGAAATAATCTAAACCAAACATTCACACAAGACAATTTGTGTATCATATGTAATTTATATGGCAAATTTGAAAAGCATTGGATGAAAAACCAAGGAGTTATGGGGAAAAAAAAAAAAAAAAGGGGCTTTTTGAACAGTTTTTCGTTATTTTTTATTATATTCAGGGAAGTGAACAGGACTTAAACCACATCATATTTCTTGCATGATGGCAATTGTTTTGTGACATGTTTGAAAAAAAAAAAATCGGATAAAAATGAGGAACTTATTCAAGTTTTTATTTTAAGCATTACAAAAAACCTGATTTTTTTCAGTTTTTTGCAATTTTTTTGTGTGTAGCCAATGTTGCAGGAAAAGTAATAAGTACTCTATATAAACCTTGTAACATGAGCTGTTTTGCATTAAGTACAAAGAACATCAGCTTATCCAGTAAAAATTTTGTTCGCATGTAACTTTGCCTTGATTTTGTAAAAAGTCTTACCTACCTTCAGTTTTATCAATATTTCTGCCAAACCCAGGGGGCCTGGAGATTGAAAAGTTGGTCTTGACCTAATTTGGTAATTTGCAACATGTGTGTACAATTTCATTGAAATTGGTCAAGAAATGTGGAGATGCATAACACACACACACAGACATCTTCTGTTTTATAGATATAGATATCTAGAGAAGCTAGGAGGTCATTCTTTTAACTTTGCAGGTTATTTAAAACCAGAAAATATTTTTAGAGTGTAAGAATTTTGAACCAATAATAATTCATACCTTTCCCAAAAGGTATTTGCACATAAGTGAATATAACAAACCCAAGTGGAATTGGAACTTGAGAGATTTCCAATTCTGAGCCATTATCCATTACACTACCCACACATCCAAGCTTATAGCACCTGGTATTTTCCAAGCAGTGACACATCAAGGTACTGACCAGACTCAACGTTGCTTAACTTCAGTGATTATAGAAGAACTGGTGTTATGACTTCTACAACACAAAAAGCATCATCTTATCCAAAAATTTACAATAATTATCTGCCTTTATTTCAAGAAATGTAGTTTGGTATAGTATTATAGGGCTACTTCCTGCAGTCCTAATGTCAGGGGTATTTTGTGGGGTTTGGCATACAGGGTTTTCACTAGAGATGTTCTAAAACCTACTATAATGAGCTGTAGTCTCTGAGAATGAATTGTATCAAGGTATGACTTCCTTGCAGCACCATAAATGAAACAACTATAGCCTGAGTATTTAGATTGCTTTATTACATTTAGATCAGATATATTTAATATAATGTATAAAAGATCACCTTCTTTGGAAGATAATGACCAAGAATGTATATTGGTCCACTACAGAAATATCAGAACCATCAAGTTTTAAATCAGGATTGTGGTGCAGCTTTTGGATTTGACAGAAATGTACACTATGTGTTTTTGTTTTGGAGAATCTGAAGCCATTTTTTATAGTCCATTTATTAACTTCATTTAGACATTATTGGAGTTAGTGCTTCAATTGTATGAATATTTTTCAATCTATAGCAGATCAAGAAATC